CCCCCCTCCAGCAGCTTTGGAGAAAGGGGGGGGGGCTGTAAAACTTGGATGGCTCTAGGCAATTCACAATTTACAAAGCGCCTGTCTCCCAAATATTTATGTCTTTACCATTTGAATGTTATTTTTTTCCTTATCTCTATTGTCTGGTGGGAGCTAACTGTTTAAATGCAAATTGATCTTTTTTGCCAGCCCTCCCTCCCCCCTCTCTCTTTCTCTCTCTCTCTCTCTCTCTCTCTAGGCTCCCAAAACACAAAACAAAACAAAAAACCACCTAAGCTGTATTGGAAAGCAGTGTGCTGTGTTTTCCCCCAAAGACACATTATTTATTTACCTCAGTGTCTAATGTGAAGGGGGGGAGTAGAGTTTATGTTTTAGTTGAGAAAAGGTACTTGGGTAGGGGAGATAAAGTTCAGACAGCACCGATGGCTTTCAGAAGCTCCCTCTCCCCCCTCCCCTCCAAAAAAAATTAAACATTGTTCCAAAGACAAAACTGCAGATGAAGTGACTGCTCGCTAGTAGTCTGCCCAGAGCCTCAGCGCGCAGGGATGATAGAAGGGAACACAGGGAAGAGGAAAAAATCTAGGCGAGGAGCAAAACCCAAGTGCATTCATATTCAAACAAATGGGCCAATTGAACCAGCCACTGCGCCCGGGCATCCAATCCGGAGCGGGCAGGCAATGGCGTTGCTTTGCATAAAGCAATATTTTGTGTGGGAGCGAGCCGAGCATTTGCATGTGCGGAGTGATTAGTGGGTTTGAAAAGGGAGCCCTGGCTCAGCCTCCTTTCCCGCTCTGGTTCAGGCGCAGGGAGGAAGTGTTTTGCTGGAAGATGATGACAGAGGTCAGGCTTTGCTAATGGGCCAGTGAAGAGCAGTGGAGGCGAGGCAGAGACCAAGCACACACACATTAATACACTTGAACCATCACCAATCAGCATAGGTGTGCTCTGTCTCTCTCCCCCGGCTCCGCTCACACACTCCTTCTCTCTCACTCTCCAGCCACTGACAGCCCATTTGATTGTCAATCTCTGTCTCCTTCCCAGGGATTCAAGATCACACAGCCAGCAGCTTCAGTGGAGAAAAACTATCTTGCTGGCACCTCTTTTTAAAGCACCATCATTCCAAATCAGTGCGCTCTTACACTATTGACAGGAGCTTTGACAACCAGCCAGGATGCCTCATAAAGGTGAGTCTGCTCATTTCTTCTCCCCACTTCTCCCTTCATTTCATGGTGATATGTAGACAGGTCTCTCCCCCTCTCCCCTCCCCACCTGCCTTCCGGGAGAGCTTCCCGGGGAACTCGCCAGACCCGGCGCTCACAAACTTTCTGCTTTCCCCGCACCCCGTGTCCTCTGGAAAAGATCAAACATCTGCCCTGGGAACCCGCAGCGGCGGCTCCGATGTCTTACTGCTGGACAGAGCGCTCACAAACGCTGGTGCCTCGGACCCCGACGGGCCAAAGCGAGGGCTGGGGGGATGCGTTGTGCTCCCTGGCTGCTCTTTGTACACAGGCGCATGCACACACACGAGATGCACCTCACCCCAGACCTTTCGCTACGCTTCTTTTTGCTGCTGCTGTTGTTGTGTCTGTGAGGACAGGGAAGGGACTCCCTCGCCGAGCCTCGCCAGTTGTTTTCTGGGGGGCAGCCGGGCGGATCCGAGAGCCGTGTCCTTCGCTTTTGTGCTTCCCACAGCCGGTCTCTAGGGAGGAGGCGGAAAAAATCTGATTTAGGGAATATTCGCCTCTAATTGCGATGCTTACTCACCGCAAGGACAGAGCAGAAGGGGGAGAGAGAGAGGGAGAAAGAAAGGGAGCGAGAGAAAGGGAAACCAAGAGAGGTGGGGGGAAAAAAGTCACATTCTAGGCCAAGTCAATTCCCAGGAATGGTATCCGGGAAGCTCTGAGCAGAGCTGAAGGACTGTCAGTTTCAATCAAGCCGCCGGGAGATCTCACCGAACTTGTCCATAAGACCAAGAACTTTCCAACTTACAGCTCACACGAGGCAAAGAGTCAGTAAAGTGCAGTCTCGAAAGCCCCTGCTGCCCAAAGCCCCTTGGAGCCCCCACTCCCTGTAGTATTTGGCTTTGCTGTGCAGAGCACTGTGAGCATTCTCTTGCCATCAGTATCCCTTGTCAACAAGTTTCTGGCCGGGGAAATATAGAAATATATTTTGTAAAGAAACGTGATTTTAAAGCATCTTTCTTATTTTATTGAATCTCTTCCACTTTGCAAGAATCGCTTCATTTTCCGTCGTAACCCGCGCGGGCGAGATTTCCCCCACCACACTCAAGTAATTTTTAAAAGTTGCAAACTTCTTCGCCATGCATAAAATTTGACCACCTAAGCGCAACAATAAACTTGATTCTTCTCGTTTCACAAGAGCAATTAGAAAAAATAGATTTAAATGTAACCTTGTAACGCTTTGTAATTGGGTGTTAAATCGACTCGCAGACCATTAATAATTTCTAGAAAGTTTTAAAACAAAGTTTCCTGTATGATTAAATGTACCTGACAGCTGCTTCTTTAAGGGAACTCCTCCATACAATATAATGGATGAAAAAGTGCCTGCATCTTCTCCGTCTTTATAGACATAAAATAATAATAGTGGTCTTCGACAATACATTTTTATAGCTTGTGACCTTTACGAATGTCTAAACAAAACTAATGGGTAAAAACAAATCGATTCCTTTTAATCTTTGTCTTATTTGACCTGCGATTGTAAAATGTTGTCATCTTAGTAGCTAATTATCGTTTCAGTGGGGGGGAAAAAAATCCCAAACACGATCAGATTATATCAGGATTTTGAGATTAAAAAAAAACAGCTTGCAGATTAGGCCTGGCCTATCGAGTCTGATTCCTAGGACAAGGCAATTTTAATTTAATTCGTTACTTTAAAGCTAAAAGTATTCTGATTCATAAATGTCTCTGTGTAGATTTACATAAGCACGCTTATCAAAACTAGCAAAACCAAGTTGTGAGCTGGGAAAGCGATTTTATGACCAGACTGCTTCCGGGTGCTGCTGTTAGACTTTTTTTGTTTTTGTTTTGCCAAATGTTGCTGGATACTTAGTTAAACAGCGAATTTCCAAGGAAAATGCAGACCAGCGTCTCTCTTTCTTCAAACCTCCTTGGGGAAGTACTTCGCTACCCTGTTTCTGAATTATACAATGTGTTTGGGGGGGGAAATACATCTATTGTCATTTCTATGAGACGTGCAGGCAGAACTAGGCGTTGGAAGTTTAACAAAAGCATTCTGATTTTCTTTTTTGACCCCGTATTCTCCACGCGTGTGAGTTGTGCATTAAATATGTGAGCAAATAGTGTCCGAGGAAGTGGATTTTCTGATCGGTGAACGTATATGCAGATGAGTTCAGTGTATGAAGGGGACGGTTTCACGTTCAGTTAAGCTAAAGGAGACATTGCCACGTCTCCATAGTAGTACAGTGTAGCTTGCCTCTCTTGCTAATCAGGTAGCTCTCCAAAGAGCAGTAAATATTTACCAGCTGAAGTCTTCACGCTGCGAGAAAGTACTTGTTTGATGTTTATTTTTATGGATTTAAGATGACTAAAAGCTACTTAATAAATTATACCGTGGCTTGTCCTGAATAGAGAAACGTGCCTCTTTGAATTCTTCATCATATGCAGGAAGAGTAAAATTAATATTCATTATAGGCGCAAAAGAAAGAGAATGAGTATTTTTAGGTTCAAAAAAGGGGGGGGAGAAAATGAAGGCTGCGACTATTTCATTATTTTACCTCCTTTTTTCCCCCCGCAAACCTCTTGAATGGGCTCTTTATTGTAATTGTCTCTTCCCAATTGAGCACCCCACTGAGCTGTTGTATCTTTTTACAACCCCTAACAACTCACACCAGTAACACAATTACCTCCAGATATTTATAACGAGAAATTACTTTTCCATTTTCACCCGCGAGGGTTTAGAGCAAATAAATACACGACCACAGAAAGAAATGCAGGGGAAAAAGGCGATTGGGGTTGTCCAGGCGCTGGGTCAAGGCAGGCACTAATGAAGGGAGTCAGGGCTTGTTTCTCTGCTCTTTGTAAGTTGGAGGGTTGTTGGTGCGCCGAGTTGGGAAGCTGTGCTGCTGGTTAAGGAGACGGGGGTTTTGCTCTCTGGGTTTGGGTAGAGGAGCAGAATGGAAGCCATTGTTCGCATTCTGTAGGCTTTGTTTAACAGTTCTCACCCCCTCCTGCTCTCACTTTTTAAAGCACTGAGGCGAGGTAGACAGCGTGTGTCACAGTACAGTGAAAAAGGGGAAGATCTAAAGACCAAAAAAGAAGTTAATCACAATAAGGGGAGTTTGGGGTGGGGGGTGGAGTTGTTAGTGCCATTAAAAACAACAACAACATGGGCCTTACTCCGAGCGCGTCAACGCGTCCTGGTTTCAAATCCAGCGGCTCCAGAGACGCAGAGTTCCCAAGTGTCCAAGGGAGCTTGGTCAGAAGTGTCCCAGCAAAACTATCCGGGTTCAGCTCCACAATTGCTGTCTCAGGACTAGACAGGGCACAGATCCACGGGGGCCCCCCGCATTAAACTACACAGGTTCCGTGTGTAAATACAGGCGCCGAAAGTGCCACCTCTGTTTAGACTGGAATGGGAGCGACAGTCTCCCAGTACTTCTGCAAACTTGAAACTTTGAGGAGTATTATTTTTGTAAGTGTTTCAAATCTCAGCCCTTCAGTGCGCGCGGCATCCTACTGGGAGGTTGCGCCGCGATGAAAAAAATGAAAAGGGATATTTCTACCCCATTTATATACTTTTTTTTTGCTTTGTCCTAGAGGGAAGACTTTAACTAGTGACACGCAGATGTGTGAATCCCTAAATTGTATGAGAGGACAGTCCACCCAGATTTCAGGCAAGTTTAAAAACCTAACTTTGGACTCCCCCCCCCCTTTCCCCTCTTGTTTATAAGCACTATTTAAAAAATGAAATCTGAGGCAATATACCATTGGCATGCAATTTTAAAATATTTAGAGGTGTTTATGTATTTGTTTGTTTATTTATTTGGCCTTGGGCTGTAAAAAGTTCAACCTTTACATTAATTGGAGAACGCGTCTAAATATAACCGAATAAGCCTTCGAGGCATTAAGAAATCTACAATTTACATGTGTGCTATCCTCCCCTGATTAACGCATATTTTATTACTAATAGAATACTATAAGCGAGCCACGTGGGATACTGCTCTATCAATTCATCATGCAGAACAGTAAGTGATTCTTTGTACATTTCAATGACATACTTCCGAATGACTTCAGAGTAGAGAGTGGAGGGATATGCGGGGAGGGCTGCGTAGATTTTTTTTAGAAAAAAAATTGAGTCGGTTTCTTATAAGAGGGGAAAGAATAATGTCAGGAAGTTTGTTGTGGTCGGCGGCGGCTTCGTGTTGAGTTTCTATTCGTGTGTTGCTTTTACGAAGCTGATTTTGAACAGAGCTGGATGTAGAATTCCCTGACAGCGGTTACACCTATGTCTGGACCTGGAGAGAAAGTGGTTAAATATAGCTTGACAATGAAGCACAGCTGTTGTGAGCGCCCCTCTTTTAGTGTGCTGCATGGAAATGGCCATTCTAGGTTATCCCTGATGGATCTATTGTGATTGTAACAGGCCAGATATTTATGGGTGTTTTGAACTTTCCTGGGGTGTGGCTAAAATCGCCAACCAAAGTTGGAGAGAGGAAGAGAGTTCGAGGTGTAATTATCCGTTACCTTAGACTTTAATTTGATCCCCGCAGTGCTTACCTTCTTTTGTGTAGCTGTTCTAAAAAGATCTTGTTGGGGTCCAGGAGTGATGGCTTGGACATTTTCTGCAGTGTGTCAGCGCATAGCAGAGGCTGGGGGAAGGGCCTGATTTGGGATTTCTCAAGGAGGAGAAGACAGTGAGATAATCTGTTAGCGCAGTGATGCATCACAGCTGCTGTGGATGGAGATACATAATCTCCCGTTGCACTGTAGTGAAAGGAATTACAGTAAGAGCACGTCAATGGGGGGACAGGGGGGAAGCCGCGAGGAAGAAAAATATTGGGAATATCAAGTGATCAGAATCCCAACTTGAATCCATCTCTCAGAAAACAAGACTCAGAAAAAATGTGGGACCAGTTGCTCACGGGGTCGTGACTGTCCCGTTAGTTGGGTTTGAAACAACGCCGAGGTTGATTTTTTTTTTTTGGTAGAACAGCCCCTCTGTTATTTTCTATAGGTGAAACTACCCCGTGTGGTTTCTACTGTGTCATAGTCACGAGAGTCACTGAATTCCAACTTCCACGTTTCCACATTAACCCATAACGCGCTCACCGCGCATAAAGGGAAAGTTCCCATCGGAGAGAGGGACTCCTGCCCCCTTTCCTGGCATTACAATGTGTTTGTAACCAAGAAGCCAGGTGTCAAACAAGTTTGCAGGCAATTGCTGGGAAAAATGTTACACCTGCGCCTCTGCATTGTAGTTTGCTTTAAATTCTGTTCCGCACGAAACGACATTAACGTGAGAGTTCGTGTTTCTGAGCAAGCAGCTGTAGCCTATGGCGTAGAATTTCTCAGATGGTTTCCAAACACTGGAATCTTCGAGCTGACCTTGGCTCCCGCTCCTTTATATTTTTATGCCACTTTGCTGCTAGTATTTTCCCTGGCACTCTCCTCGTACTGCTGTGCTCATTCTGCTCAGTCCAATCACTGTGCAAACGGAAGAAGAAGAAAAAACCTTATTCTTTAAATATCCTCAAATTACTTTTCCAGTCGGCAGGGGGGAGGGGATACTTCAACAAGGGGCTTTAGAAACAGTTGCTTAAATTTTCCGAATTAAACTTTTTGGATTAAAAAAAAGTAGCTATAATGTTGGGAAAGAAAGAAAGAAAGAAAGAAAGAAAGAAAGAAAGAAAGAAAGAAAGAAAGAAAGAAAGAAAAGGAAAAACCCTTTTAATTTTCCAGTGATAAACTGAGCAGCGCCTAAAGTTTTGCCTTCTTAACAAGTCACTTGCTCTCAAATTACTAAGTAACACGGTTTACATGCCTCACAAAGCTGTAATAAAACAGACAACCCTCCCTAAGAGTTCGCTTGAGTTGGGTTATGAATGTTTTCATTTAGTTCGAAAAACATTAAGCCTGCGGTGAATTACCTATATGTTATTGAGAGACACCATGAAACCGGGTGGTGTAAATAATATTCACTAATGCACTTGGCCTTGGTATGCTGAGGTTTTATGTTAATGGGAATGCCTTTACATGGTGGTTTGTGATCGCCACTGCAAAATGTAGAAAAGATATCATTCGGGTGAAGCCTTTATTTTGTTTAAAGGTCGCAGCAGGCTCTTCAGGCTTTGTGTTAATAACTCCTGGGTGTATATGGTGCAGAGCATCCAAATTGACACCATATGTTTTCCTATTAGATGACTAGCAATAGAATACAAGGCGCATAATCATTGCCACTGGGCGAGATCTACACTGCTCTCCAGGGAAATTATATAATGATTAAGGCTTAACCTTTTAAGTGAAACTTTGATTTTGCTTTCTTCACTGCCATTTTTTATGCTGGCAAATATCCCCCTTCAATCCCAGACCTCGGTGCGTTCTGCAGGGCGCACCGCCGGTGCGGGCGCACATTCTGTAAAGATCTATCCCGTCGAGATGTTCCTTGAGATAGCTCGACTCCGTGCAACGCTCTTC